CCGGGATCTTCGGCTCAGTCGCTTAAATAAATAGTAGCCACTTCGCATTCCACTCTGAAAGCATCGCAGCACGTGCTCAAGCCATCGCAGTTGTGACTTCACAGTATTGAGAAAGAGCGACTGTATTCTAACGCTCACTCGGAACTCTGTACTCCGGACTATGAAGAGACGCAAGAGCTCATCGTCTCATCAAGCCCAGTCCAGCCATCTCTCCCAAATGGGCAGGAGAACAACCAAGCACTAGGCTGTTCGTTTTAGACACATTCAAATGCTACAGTAAGCAGCATTCTTGTCTTCTGGACATCGACTACGCTGATACACTGTCTGATTGTCCTGGCTGCGTCTGATTATTATATCCCTGTAAAACACAATCAGGATAGAGGACAAATGGCAGCCCCTGCCTGAAACCAGTGCCAACAATGAAAGTCTCAACTTAACGCCATTTACACTGACGCAGCACCTGCAATTGGTACATAGTGACTAGATGGCCCGTATCAACTGGTCATCGATCCAATATGCTTTCAGGCATATTGCGCATGGATTGTTGCGCGAGATCCGGTCATAGGCTTTTTGAAGGTTCACAAGGCACATGTAAACCGGATGAGCGAACTCTCATGCTTTTCACCCATCTGGCATAAGGAGAAGATCCCGTAAGAAATTCGGAGTGCCTGACTTGAAGTACCTTGCCATTCTTATATCTTGGAGTTACTTATTTCGCGTCTTCTTTTTAACACCTTCGCATGGACTTTCATCAGGTAGCTCGATGAGGTAGTGCTCCGAGAATTAAAGCTATCTTTATGGGCTCCTTTCATAAACAAGGGCACTAGAATATCTGTTCTAACGTATACTGGTGACTTCTGAACACATGTTAGCCAATACATGCAATGTTCGCGTAAAGCTTTGAGTGTTTCAGTACGGATTTCGCCGATTCCCGCTGCCTTACCACTTTTCAAACCTTTAGCTACATCTGCGAATTCATCAACTGAGAGTCTAATATCATTTTCCTGCTGCCCTTCTTTTTAGTTTTTCTGCGATTCCTCAAAGTGCTCTGTCCATCGCCGAATTTTGCGCTCATTCTGGACTTGTCTTTTAGGACTCTTAGACAGCCTTTCTTTCTACCTTGGAGGTGGCGCGTGGTCCTCCAGAATAACTTGTTTCCTGTTTATAAATGGAAAATTATGGACTCCAGCATTTCATGGAACTCTTTCCAGAAACCAGCTTCCGCTTTGGTTGCCTCTTTGCTTGCTTGCTTGCATTGCATTTGAATTGAAGGCACTTTGCTTCCAGGCCATCTTTTGAATGCAGCTTTCTTTTTGGTGACAGCCAACTGAACCTCGCGTGTCCATCAGGAAATTCGTTTCTGACTTCGAGGCAGCAGACGAACTCGTTTTAAGGCACAGCATTCAGCAACAGCCCGAGTGAGCCAGTCTTGAAGTTTCCATTCTGTTTTCAGATCAGCGGTCATTTGCCGAGATTTGTTGAAACGATCGCGGTATGTTGTTTGCAAATTCTGTCCTCGTATTGATAGAAGATAATTTTTTTATTTCAGCTTTTAGTTGCTTCTGCCGCCAGATTTCCGCAGAGTACTCCATCGTCTATAGCGGAGGGTGTCAACAACAAAGTGATAATCGGTTAACAGGTCTGCGTTTCTTATAAGACAAGCATCCCTTACAGAACGCTGTTAGTCAGAATATGCGCGATTCTGCGAGCAAGTAAAACCATGTATACCGCTGCATGCTTCGATGCTCGAAGAAGGTTTCATAAGAGAAGGGGCGTTGTTTGCAGAAAACTGAAACAACTTCATACCATTATTGTTTAAATTATTTGACTCGAATCAGGAAATGTTGAATCAAGAGTAAGCAGTGCCTTTTTTTATCACAGAGCGCACCAGAACGACATTCCGAGAACTTTTTACGACGGATTTTCCGAGTTTTAAAAGTAACTTTTGAAAATTTAATGTTTGGTCCCCGTGCACTTGAATCACCCTGTCAAGCTTAACAGATCGGTGGAAAGATCACTCAAAGGGTGCATGCGAGCTTGTTAACTAACATTAACAAAATGTGGATTCCGGCACCATTTTTCTTACCAAAAATACACTGGGAGTAAGATTCTCAACGGTTTGGCATCGCATCATTGTGAGCCACCAATGGTGCAGATCAAGCATCGCGCAGCTACCACCTTGATGGATAAAAGCTTTACCGGTATTATGGCTTGTGGTGGGAGAGTGTCAAATATTGTTAACATTATTAATAGGTTGCAAGTGAGAAAAAAGTTGTTAGTCATTGCATACTCCTGCTCTGAAGTGCATAAATCTTTTGACAATAGTTTTTATGTACCAGGGGCAGTCATGCTGAATTTTGGCTTAATTTTTCTCCTGTCCATTCATGTTTTAAACTGCGATCGCCTCCAAAATCTTTTCCCTTTTCCAGTTTGCTTCCGCACGATCAATTCTGCGTGCATCCCATTGGATGATGCGGTTCTTTAGTAGGTTATACTCTTCAACAACAGCGCCGTCTGTGCTCTGCTGAAACTGTATATATACTAACAGTCTACGTATTTTAACTTTCTTTTCGTTTTTCAAATATGGCTCTCTCCGTATATGCATTGTATACGGTAAGTTATCCCAGCGGTGGTCTATTTAGGTAGAATTCTTTATCTGAATATGATTCAATCAAACTTGTGTAAAAATTTCCATGCTCCTTCCACTTCGTATCTGAATGTGAATTGCTTGATTCCTTCACTTAAATTTGCTTGGTATTGAATGAGCAAGGAAGCGCAACGCGGCTTTCAAGTCTTTTTCGCGTAATGTCGTTTCGTGCTATTTCATTTCCAGTCTATTCTCTATTATTTATGAACGACTACAATCAGATACTGATTTTGATTCCGTTTAAAGACTAGATCACCGTACTTTTGTTGGCGCGAGGCTGAGAAACGTCTTAAGTTTCGTAGGTGCAATGCTTAGACTTGTCCGGCTTTAATGGATTTGGCAATGGAAATTAAAGGGACGTTCGGAGTAATTGGCTCTCTTGCGCGGTGGCTGGTAGCGTGTCGTTCTTTCTAAACCCAAAACTTTCAGGAACGAAAATTTTCTCATCTCATTTAGCTCGCATGTAAACCAGTCATTTCCGTAGATTGACTTAATATGTTCTTAAAACATATTTGATTATACCTGTTTGTTCAGCCATATTGCCTAGATATCATCCACGTATCTATGCATGAAGGTGCTAATAGCTAGGCTGATTCCAGCGCATATTTTTCAAATTGCTCCATGTACATCTGTGAAATAATGAGTCCTATCAGGGATCTGTTTGTTATCTATCTGTCACGACCTGTCCGTTGCCCTTAATGTTTCCCAATTGCCAAAAATTGGATTGAGACTGGAGTACGCTTAAAGAATATTGGCTCCTCTCCAGTGAATGATAATGAATATTTTGTTTAAGGTGGTCAATCTACACTGGAAGATTTCCACTGAACCCCCGTTGATACGCTGGTGTACTGGAATACGATGTCAAAACGTACAATGATTGCTTCTGGTCAGATTAGTAATCTCTTTACTTTTTCTTTGAATTACCTGGAGTTGAGTTTTGTCGCGGAGGTTTAAAAGTTTTCAA